ATTTCTACCTGAAAGATTATCCATATAGACAGTACAGGGCTGGATGGAATAATGATCTGAAAAGCCGATGGGACACACACACACCAACCCCACCCCCTCCAGAATTCATGGTCTCCTCAGGAAAACAATCATTTTTTAAAAAATCTGATCTTCTGAAGTTTCAGGAAACTTTCAAGAAAACGCTTTTTGCATTAAGACCTTCATGGCAGCTAAAGGGAAGAAACAATTTCTAATAGAAATATTCTGATCTCAAATATGGATTGTTTCAAACTCAGAACCCTTTCAGAAGGACTTGAGTTTTCCAATAAAATCATAGCAGTCCGTTTTAAATGTTTTTTCAGTTCTTTTTTGCTCACCCTTGTTTGCAAAGTTATTTTAGCTAGTGCTCCTTGGTTTGTGTTAATTAAGTGGGAATAGCGCCGAGAGTGCCATTTAATTTCTGGGAAACAAAGCACGATTTTAAGTCCCAGGTAGGCCTGTTGCTTCCCATTGTTACCATATATTGTACAAAACTATCAAGAACTTAAAAATGCAGTAATACGCGTACTTACTTTGAAGATATCTCTTGAAGATATTAATCTGTGGATACAGTCATAGTCTATGAATGTGAAACACAAAAAATTGAATAAATATAAAGACAGACATAAAAAAGCAAATATTAGAAAGATTATATCCAACTTCATTTGCATGTATTTTATTAATTGTGGCTTCATAATTTAATTTTGGAATATCCGTATGTAATATTTGTCATCTCCCTGCCTCTAGAATAGTGTACAAGTCTTGACCTTATGGTGGAATGGATAGTTTCTTGTCTTTAGCTATACTTAAACATGTTAAATGAGCTTACCTTTTTCCCCCCCTTATGTTTACGTGGCAGGACCTGAATTATCATCTGCAGTTCATCAAACATGGGAAGATCTGCTTGTTTTTTTAGCTACCCTGTTCAGAAAATGTGGCCAAAGTGCACTACCCTTTGTATCTCTTGCGTTAGCAAAGCATTGGGCTTCTGTAATAGGTAATACCTGGCTTTAAAACAATGTTCTGCATAACAGTGTAAATTGTTTGACTTCTTGTTACCAGTTTTGATATCATGGATTATAGTATGCTTCAGGAATGCCAGTCAGAGATGAGACTGTGAAGAATTGGGTTTGTGTTCCTATTCTTAATTGGGTAGATCATTGAAAGGTTTTCTCTCTTTAGGTACCAAGTAAATAAGCTCTATCCCGAAAATAAGCCCCAGCATGTGCCTAATATAAACCCTATCCCAAAATAAGCCCTAGCTAAGAGCCCAACCCTCCATCCCACTGTCTGTGAAGTGGATTCACTACAACTTCCTGAAACCTACAGGAAACTCAATCCCCTCTTGTCGAGTTGGCATTTTGGCACAGCAACCAACTGAGCCTTGGAGCCTCAAGTGGGTTTCTTGCCTCGTTCCCGTTGCAGGAGTAAACTGAATAAGAATGGACGGGCAAAACTGAAGGATGATGTAGGATGGTAAGGGCAAAGCCACCCTCACCCAACCTCCTGCCTCATCTTGTGGTGGCACCAATTTGCTGGACATGCTATGCAGCGTCCTGTGTGGAAAAAATAAGACATCCCCCAAAATACATCCCCTGGTACTTATTTTGAAGCCCAAAAGAAAATAAGACTGGGTCTTATTTCGGTAGATCATTCAGAGGTTTCGTTTCTTGGATTGAACGATAGTAGAGATGAAGGTTCTTTTAATGTCCAAGAGCCACTTTGTGGTTGAGATAATGATGAAAAGCAGATGGAGCCATGGCTTTATTCTTCTTGGATACAAGGCTATGTTTTCATGTACTCATTCCAAGATGTAAAGAAATTATGCCGCCAATTTCCAAGATGGCTTTGTGACTTGAAAAAATTGCCTGGAGGGCTTTATGCGAACTTGAGGCCTCAGGTTGCCTGCCTTTGCTTTAATGAGTCTCTTACCCTTAAATTATTGGTATAAAACCCAATTATTGTGCTGTTTCATGTAAAGAGTATAGGACACAAAAAGCTTACAGTGAGATAAGTTTATAGGTGAGCACCATCCTGCTAACTAAGGATTTTTTCCTTCAATTTATGCAAATCATTAACATACATATATGCATAGATAACAGAAGGCTAATGTCAGCGTTCCAAATATCATGCAGAATTAAATCAGAGTCCAAGGCTGACAGCTAACATGTAGAAGAAGTAGTGATAGCACCTGCAATTTTCATGGACATTTTCCGAGAGACATCTGAGTTGGCACACCTTATCAATTGCTTTTTTGAATAATTCAGTGTCACTATTATGGATCCTTTGCTGAGGTTAAAAAAAAATTTCTGTCAGAACCAAAGGTTTTATTCCCCAAAATAACTTAGAAATGCTTCTTCTCTTTCTGATTCTCCAAACAGACATGCAGACTTGGAATAACCCATTTTTAGAGAATTTGTTTCAGCTTTAATGGCTTCCATTTCAGTTCAAAGTTTACTTAAATTAATGTTTTAAATAAAATATGGGTGGTTGAGCATATTCTGAAGTAAAGTCAACATAATCATCCTGTTATCTATTACCTGGTATTTGTTTCTATTGGTTCATTTCATATCCTAACACATCATTTAATATTTATGAAACTGCTGCATCATAAAAGTTTACTCTCTTTGACCTTTTAGATACACTATGTGAATGTATCCATCTTTCTACCAGACAACCAAGTTTGTGTACAGCCTCCTTATATTTCTTAGCCCTTCTTTTTGCTGAAGAAGGGAAAAGAGAGTTCAACAATAAAGAGGACACTTGCTACCAGCCAACAGTGTCTTTCCTTCTTGATGAAAAGAAGAACCAATCATCTGTAACCAAGCTATGTGAATTACTCATTCAGGTAAATGTATAAACTAGTGATACCCACATACATTTTCCTACAAGTTTAATCACTGTGAATGCATGTCAAGATAAATTAAGGAAGTGTTTGTCAGATGTTTTGTTAAAAAGTGAATAGGGGCACAATTAGGAGCCCAATAAGTTCAGAGTTGTTTAAGACATTTACATCCCAGAGTATTAGAGGCATTGTAGGACTTATATGTATAATTTATAGGAATGTAAGCCAGTGGTTCCCATTTTTTGTTTCACCATGGACGTTTGCTTTAAATATTTTTGTGGCCACAAACTCTCAAGACTTAATTCAAGATTTAAATCATAACATTTCTTCAAGCCTTTGCACAGCCCCTGTGATGATATCGTGCCCCCCCCCCCTGGGTCCGTGGACCACATGTTGAGAAGCACCAGTATAAGCAAAATGCAAGTGAGGAAACATTGAAACTGTTTTGGAAGAAAACAGTTTCTAGAGATGATGGATGGATGCAAACTGGTCCTGTAAAGGAGAGGAAAAACTCTGGGAAAGGAGCAGGGGAAAAAAAAACCCCAAACCAGCAGCTCTAGAACTGGTAGAGGAAAAAAAATGTTATAACTTAAGGTAAGGGTTAGGTTTAGGGTTAGGTTAAGGGTTAGGTTAAGGGTTAGGTTTAGGGTTAGGTTAAGGGTTAGGTTAAGGTCATTCCTCAGAGTGCTTTAGAATACACGGTTTTGTCACCCCGGCTTAGTCGGGCGCAGTTTTGTCATTTGCCCTTAAACCTTCACCTTCATTTAGCTACTCCTTTTCTGCTCTTAATTCTATTAATAGGATGGTTAGTGAGATTTGTTATTTCCATTTTATAAGCAATTATATTTGGTTTCTAATACTATCTGCTGATGCTTGTACTTGCAATCTGACTTCTTTAATTGATTATTTAAACCAGATGAATAGAATATAGGTCAAAAAGATAAGTAAATCTTACTTAAGATCTTGCATTTCTCAACTAGCTATGGCCTCAAGACTCTTCTTAAGTTTTCTCTCTCTTGGTATCAACTGCTAATAGCTTCCTCAGGTTCTATTTTACTATTAATGTAACCTTTATTTTTTTTATCACATATGCAGTATGTACTATTTCAGTCTAATCATGGTATTAATTATTCTGGAAGAGAACCTCTCTAACGGATTATTATAATGAAAATAGTTATTTTAGCTGCGGGCCTGGAACAGCATCATATATTGAAAATGTATTTTAACCTAGGAATTCACTTCATAGTAAGAAAGACAATCAATGAGATTGTAAAGGCCAAGGTTTGCACCCTACATTTTAATTTGTATATATAAAGGCGTGCAATGGGGAGATGGTGGATCACAGTAATAAATGAATGAAAAACAAGAAATAATAGACGAAATGTTAAGCTACAATGTATTCTTGCTAGAATAGTGGGTTTTTTTTTAAATTAAAAGCTTCCTACAGCTTAATTTTTTCCCACCGTATCATTATAGTGAATGTCACCATTTCATCTTATGTGTCTTTTGAACTGGCGTGTCTTAGAATTGAGATTTGATGTTGTTACCATTTAACTGCTTAGAAATGTATTCATGATGACATTTCAACAAATTAATTGCAGAATGTGTGGAGAACTAAGAGGTTGGAAAGAAATTTTGAGGAAGCAATGAAAGCGTTGTTTATCACACCAACAATTTGGTAATAAATCTTAGCTGTGTAAAAGAAGGATCCTGGAAAGGGCATGTCAATACTACTGGAGCAGATGGATTCACTTGCTAGTTTTTAAAACACATACAATTGCAAGGGGGGAGGATGAGAGTAGCAAAATCAAAACAGAAATCAGAAGCAGGTACCTAAAATAAAGGAGACAAAATAACTAAAAATTCAATATTAAGTGTGGGAAATAATTGAGTGTGTCTCTAAAAAGTATTCAGTCAAACCTTTGTCAGTGTATAAAGGGAGAAAAGAATCTGATTTCCTTTTCCCTATAATATAGTAGTAAGTAAACCATAATAACATATAAACAGTTTGGGGGCCAGCAATTTTTTTAAACTGTAGAAATAATATTATATGTCTATCAAGGTATCATTGCATAAGAGAAATATTTTACTCAAGAGATAGTTTTTGAATTGTAATAGAGCTGGCTAAAAACAGTTTTCAATTTTCAATGCATCTGGATCTTAAAGCCAGTCTTTCTCATTTATTTTGCTCTGATAATGAAAAAGTGTCCTTGCCTGTTAAATGTTAAAAAGAAGAGGAAGAAGATGACAAAGAGCTGCGGTGGCTTAAAAAAAATACGTGGATCTTTCTTGAGTGTCTACAGTGTAGACTCTACACCACACTAAAGGCAACTTGCTGTGGCCAACTCATCATGGTAAACTCACCACAGTCACCTTGCCATGGCCATCTCGCTGTGGGACAACTTGACATGGACAACTAGTTGCAGGACAATTCAACAATTCAATTTAATTATTTAAAATGATGTAAAAAATTATTTTATTTTTTGTCATTCACTTGTCATTCTATCATCCTTTGTTTAATGATTCTATGCCAATTTTTTTTATTTTAGTGTACGGTATTTTTTGGAGTATAAGACGCACTGGTGTATAAGACACACCAAGGTTTTGAAGAGGCAAATAAAAAAAAAAAAGTTTTACACTCTGCAGACCTCCCAAAAAGGCCCATTTTTCATGAAAATGGGCCCATGTTTTCCACAAAAGGCATAAATAGCCTTTAATTTGATTTGATTTGATTGATTTTATTGTATTTATATGCTGCCCTTTTCTCCCGAAGGGGACTCAGGGCGGCTCACAATTCAAATCAGGGAAGGGGGTACAGACAAAAAATAAAAACGAAACAT